GGAGTTCTTCGCGGTAGAAATGACGTATCTGACTCACATGGGGTTTCCGTCAAATCCCTGGCCACCTGAGTCCCACCGAGGAGACGCCGACGAGAGTGAAGCTCCGAGCCGCCGCGCCGACAGTCGTGCACTATACTGGCACTAACCTTGCAGGCAGAGATAACTTTTGTTTGCTCTTTCGCTGCCCTTCTCTGAACCATATATCGCGCTGACATGCCCGCCCCAGCGTGCAGTACTTGAGCGAGAACAATGGTGGGGAGAGTAGATAGGCGAGAAATAAATGGACACGCGATAGCAGCACGGCCGCAGTCGGCCTGGTGCCGAAAGGATCGCATGGTGCAAAACTTCCTTTTGAGGTGTGCAGCAAAAAAAGAACTACGCGCTAATAAATGAAAAATAAAAATCCCTCGCGGTGGCTTTCCTTTCTTTCTTTCTTTTTTTTTCTTTTTCAGGCATTCATATTGCTAAACTCGTGTCCTACCGCAGAGCAAGCATAGTTCCGTCCAACACATACTTGTGCTTGAATAGTTCAGTTTCGAAGTCAAAGGAAAATTCGTCATCAGATGTTTAAACAGCACGAGTTTAGTCTGCCAGAATTTGTGGCGACATTATTAAAGGTTATGACGAGCCGGCGGATACTTTCTTCGGGGAAAGCATCCAATGCTTTAGCCATGTCATGATAACTGCATGTCTGAATCTGTCCGGTGATTATGTCGAGAAGTAGCTAGAGTGTATGTATCCGGATGATTTCATCTCAAATCGTGCAAGCAAACAGGGAACAATTTTGTTTTTTTAATTCTGGCGAAAATATGTATGTTCTACGGGAATTTTCTACTTAGAAGAAAGGGTAAAAGCCGCGTGTTTGGAGAATTTCTCGTTCTCGAATTTAGGAGCGCGGAAGCGGACGCGGGGGAAAGGAGCGTTCGAAGGCCGCATGTTTGACTCACTTTCCTTCCGTGGTTTTTGGCCTCTGCGTTATTTTGATATGTGTCTACAGCTCTATGGACAGTGTGACGAAGTCCTAATTTAATGAATTATTTATATGCGTTTTACATTTTTTTTTTAAATTGCCAAGCTCACTCCTCAGGTTGATTTTTTTTTTTTTTGTATGAACTTTACAGGTTGTTATTTGCGACCTGCTTAAGTTATATTTATAAGTTTCATGTCCATGGAAAGCCCGAAATGAACTCTTTGAAAAATATAAAAATAATTCAGTTTTGCGCAATATCTTCTTTGATGTTATAACTTAAAACCGTACAAATTGAGGGCACCTGCAAGTTTGAGATTAATTTTCTCAGAAAACAATATTTTTGTTCGTTTTTGTCGAAAAAATTAATTTCTAGAAAACATTATAGTATATAAATGTAATATTTTGTTTGTTTGGATTCGATTTAAGCCCCAATATTCTCAAATCCATGTTCATATTTAACTAGCAAAACAGGCAACTTAACGACCTTGGGCATCTCTGATTTTTTTTTAAAATATATTGGCGTATCCCTGGAGCGATATGTCCACGCCCTGGTGGTGGACTCACTGCGAGGCGACAGGAACGAGACCGAGAGGCGAGGCCGGGACTCCTCGTTTAGCGCGTGCTAGGAGTCGAGTATGTCGCTGCAGGCGTCGATCTTTGTTTGATCACGTGACTCGAGTCTGTAGTTACATAGCCTCCTCTCTACTGACAAAGCCTGGCAGACCGCCACCAGACGCGGCCGCCGAAAGTGAAAAGGTAGAGAGGAAGACAAAGGCATGTAACGGGCGCCCCGCTGCGGCGAGACGCCGAAACACACTTGTTTCGGGTCCTCGCCGCTGCAAAAGCTGTGCGCCGACTACAGGCTCCCCGAGAAATGCTACGTGCTACCAGATCCTCACGCCCCAAATCTGCGACCGGGCACTCATGGGTCCTTCCTTCATCGGACTGCCAGGCTTTCTCAGTATAGAGGAGGCTGTGGCAGTTAATAGGCGGTAACAATAAACTGTAACATGACGCGTCGGCATTCGTACGACGCGCGAACGCAGAAATTATGACCTACGCGTGGGTCAAGAGTCTCGATGTTTATCCGGTAAACATCGACGCTCAAGTGCGGACGTGTTGCCTGATCCGCTACAGACGCGCGTCCCCCAAAGATAGGCGCAAAGTAAAAACGCACAACGAAATAACCATTCACGTGTTGTTATTTCTTTTGGGGCGAAGCGAAAAGGCCAGGAGTGCGAAGACCCATCGCATGCTTACTTCATCGACGGTGATTTAGTTGTTCTCTGCAAGACCGAAAGGCGATCGCCACGGTCGCCTGGGCCAAGGATTTTCTTCTTTTTTTGCAGGGCGTCATAGAAAAAAAAACTTTGTCTAATTTCGATAATAAAACTTACCATCTACTGATAATGGTTGGCTGAATATTATCTCAAACACAACGCATTGTCAGAGAAAACACGTGCACAACGCAACACTGTTAGCGCGAACAAGCAATCGCCGGTTTCTCTTATGCCATTTTCATAGGTACGAAAGGTTGGCATAAAAACTACTATACTATATAGTGCGATGTAAAATGCTCACTCGGGGTTGTAACCTGATCTGTAAAATTTGGCGCCCACCATTTTCATTTCGAAGTAAAATGCGAAACGATGCTCCGTTCGTGCTAACAATGCCATACGCTGTGTATTCTTGCACACCTCCAAAAGCGTCCGCTTCTCTCCTTCTTTCACAATATAGAATACCGTTTCTTTCTTTATATGTGTTGTCGCCATGCGCGTATTGGAAAGGAGATAGAGCCATCGCGCTCCTAGTGGCTAAATTGAGAACTACACCAATGGGGGACAACAACGATGTAGACAATTTGCTTGTGTTTCGACGCAGCGCTTGGCCCACGTAGCCGAGGGTTGCGTCAGTGTTCGGCTGGGGCTCACGTCCAGTTAGAGAGCGAGAAAGAGAGAGAGAGGGAGCGCAGCTAAAAACTGGACACGAGTCGTGCACAATCTTTGCCCCGCGCTCAATCGAGAAAGACGAAGTGAAGAATGCTGTGCACGGTGCCTATTGTTGGTAAACACAAAACCCCGGAGAAAACAAGCTGGACGTCCTCTGGTTCGATCTCCTCGCCAATAGACAGAATATAAACATAATGAGAAAAAAAAAAGATACGTTCAAGATTGACATATTACTACCTTTTGACATCGACGGATGACTTGCAACCGAGGAAAAACGAGGTATTGATTCGCTGTCTCTACGTTGCTTGACATAACGAGGTTTACTGAGCGTCGGGGGTACATCCGCTTATGAGAAGAAAAAAAAAATAATTAAAGTTGCGGTATCCTTTGTTTGCTTGGTAAGCTTGCTTGCATTCAGTGCCCATAATTTATGTCGTCTCTCGAACAATTATTTTTCCGCCCGTATAATTTATTACTAAGCAAAGCGGACGAACAAAATATATGATTTTCAACGTTTTTCCATCTTCTCTTTTTTTTTTTTTTTCTTTAGAACGCAGTTTTGGTGGCTCGTACACTGGTACAAATAAGAGGAACAGCCTAGAGCCACTAAATGAGCTGCGCTCATTTAGTGGCACTAGTACAGCCAAATTCGCAACGTTCAGCGATGGTGGTACCGCGGTGTGAGAATCGCGCTTTCTAGCCCCTGGATGATCGGATTCACAATAGGGGTGCTTGCCAACACCTTCCTGACGTGAAAAAAATAAAGTAAAAAAAAAAAAAGAATACTGCTCCTATATAGCAAAACTATAATTACGCGTCGCACCGGCCTCGTACCACTGTTCATCGACGATCATCATGATGACAGCCATTTTGAAAGGCACCTTAGCTGCGCAGCAGTGCGGATGCTGCGTGTAGATTAACGACACGTACTTATAAAAACAAGGCCGGTAGCCTCATTACAGTCACCGACATGTTAAGAAATGTATCGCGTGGCGAGCCCCGAGACAATCTTATTATTGTTCAGCAACCAAATGAGGCTGCGGCATTAGCAAATAAAAACGCCGAAGAAAGATTCACAAATCAAAAAGCGTGAACTTAATCAGCCGCGTCCTGCGTTTATTAAGCTGTCAGTAAATATAACCCCCAATGCACGGTAAAAAAAAAAAAAAAAAATCGTGAACATTTACGCATACTTTTCGAGTTTGTTATACACGTGTCCTCACTTGTAAGAGCTGTTTTTTTGCTTGTTTAGTGGTACAGTTATGAAATGTTGCTAGTACCGGGAACGCGCAATAGATTTACCGAGCGCAAAGAAAAAAAAGTATTTCTTATTTTCTACATTTGGTAGTAAGAGAACTTTGGACTCTTCCAAGCTTTAAATTCATTTGAGAGGCAACTACTGTACGGTTTTAGTGCACTCCAACTTGCTGCTTTGGTGCTTGCGATCACTGTTTACGAATGAAGACAAAGCCTAAACACAAAGCCTAAAGCCTAAACGTCGGCGACGCTTGCGCGAAAGAGACGGAGGAGCGCCAAGCTGCCGACGGTGAGTCTTGTCCCGCGGTCCGGGAGAACGACGGCGGCATCACTGTTTCTAAGGTATCGGAACTGGATACCATTACCGACGCAGCGGAGGCTGTGGCTGTTCCAGGATCTGCACAGGTCTCGCCCTGTTCGCGTACGGGAGAGGCCACTCTGATCGCGGAGGCGGCGTCTTTTGATGACAGTGCAATCAACTTCGAGCTGAGCGCCAACATCTCGGAGCAGGAGCTTGATCAGCTGCTAGAGGAGGAGGAGGCAGCGGAGGAGGAAGAGGACAAGGTTTACGTGGATAAATTATATTGCGACTAAGTATTTGCGCATTGCAGGGCAATAAAGTAATTCTGAAAAGTTTTCTTGTTCGGATGAAAGTCACACGATCCGTTTACCTCACAAAGGGCTCCTGCTTCGTTCCTGGACAGAAAACGAAGATGCATGGTAAAAACGACCCAACTTGTGCACACTAAGTCATTGTAAAATAGAACAATGAAGCAGACCGCGCTTCTTCCAGCCAACGAGTTGCTATGAAAAGTTGTGTTTGATTCAACAATGGCCAACACAATTACAAACTTTCATCGGTTTACAAGTTTATTCCCGGCTCGGGTGATTCCACAGTGTTTCAAACCTTGTGTTTTTGCCATGCATTGTCTTAACCAAAAGGGGATCTCGCTCACTCTAAAACCTTGAAGTTGTCAAGCTATCTATAAACGCACGGTGGGATAGTGCCTTATGCACTAATGTCTACAGCACGTGAGGAAAAATTCCACGGAAGTCTTCCTGTTACTTCGTAGACCAACAAGACAACATATATATTTGTAGCTCCGGACATTAATCCAATTACTGGTTCAAAGGAAGCATGGGAATTCTTGTACGCGTTGTGCGCAAGCCAGACCGGTTTTTCGCGCGGCCCGCGAACCACTCGGCGGCGAAGACGAGCAAGGCGACTCCGTTGCAAGCCATGAAAAAGTAGAAGGCCGTCCTGATGTCTCTGGGGGACAGCTGCTGGGCCTCATGGGTTAGACTCCTGGAGCTAGAAGTCTCGATGATGCAGCTGCGAAGGCGGGACACTAACTGCTCCTCGCGGTAGAACTGGACGCCGGACTCTATCAGCCACTGCGTCCTGAAACCAAACAAAAAGGAAGACTGAGGCTGGGGAGCAGTTCCGTACGCAATAGCTACATACTTCGTTAGCCGACGCTACGAGTTAACGGGACCCCTCAAGCAGAGTCAGAAGGTGACGTCGCTGGGACCTTTCTGTTTGTAATTGGGTCAGCAATGATAGAACACGTACAGAAACCTCGTAGAGTCGGCTGCGTCTGGATCCAAGGCGAAACGAAGTATAGTTCACCTCCGATCGGCAAAGAAACCAACGTCTTTGTGCATGGGCTTCCCGGCTAAACGTATACAGTGCCGGTAATGCACGGTGCCTCTGAAAGCGTATAGACCCAACACCTCCTCAATGTGCGTGGCGTTTCACTTGCTCGTTGTCCATAAACACATCGGATTATTTTAAAGATCTAATTTTATCAGTACAGCTTCGACCTTTGTTGAAATCTTTCTATTGTTACCCGTGACTGGCTGCGTCCACTTTCTTTAGTTTTCAATAAAGCTGGAAGAGCGTCTTCCAGGTCGGAGTCACCATATTCTGCCATGCAAGCGAATATAGCAGGCGGTGATTCTTCACTTCCCGTGGCTGATAATGAACAGGACCAAGGTCCCGCTTATGTTCATGTTACTACAGAGGAACAACGAGTAGAAGACAGGTGCTATAGACGCTGCGTGAAAAATGTTCGTTGAGAAGATGCTACAGGTCGCCGTATAACAGACAACACCATTGTATCCAGGGCAGTGTACCTTTTGGTCATGGCGACCAGGAAGCGGCTGGGCAGCGTGTCTTTGTTGGAGTACCAGGCGAGCCACATGTGCATGACGGGCTCGCTGCCCACGTGGAAGTGCCTGCCTGGCTTCGAGCAGGCGACTTCGTGCCGGTCCGAGAAGGCCACCTCATTGCTAAGTTGCACCGCCCGGCCTTCCATGATGGCGTCGAAGACGCGCGGCGAGAACAGGTCCCAGTAGGAGGGGATGTAGCCGCCACGACGCAGCATCAGCGAGTGCATGATTTGGTATTCTTCCAGCGTCGACTCCTGCAACAGACAGGGTGTACGATAGAGCCACGAAGAGGAGACATCCACACCATCTTGGAGCCCTCCGGACGGAGTGTAGAGTCGTTGAGCTTTGCCAGATCACCAATTTTTCTTAACTGCACTAAACTTATAGGTGTCTAACTGTATGAAGCTGCCATTAAATACACAGACAAACCTACATGCGTGATAGATTTGTTCTGGGAAAGCTCCAAGATACTTAGTAAAACTAACAGACAATACGACCTTCTCCTCTGATGGAATAAACACAATAATACAATAAATTATGCCCTGTGGGCCGTTGCAACGTTTGATGTCACAAAAGCTGTGAGTGTAACATCTCTACAGTAACTCATCTTTACAATTTAAACTCTTGAATTGTTTACTTCTTTATTGCTTCACTTTGCTGGAACATTTGAGAAATGTTCACTGTGCAAAATGTTTGGTTTTGTGAAATTCGATTTGGGTAGGCTCACCCTTCAGAATAGGTTCATCCTGCAAAATTTTCGTACAAAAGGTCTATAAACACTTACAGCTTATCATTGGAAAACGAACACCGTAATTGCTATCCTTAGGGAGCGAATAATAAAAAATATAGAGATTTAAGGCCATTCTAATCCCTCTGCACCGTTACTTGAGCTGCTGTCCCTCCCTCCTTCCATCCCAATACAAAAGAAAAGCTTTCCAAAATTTAAGTTACACGGTGCCCTGATAATTATTAGTCTGATTCAAGATGGAGTTATCATAACTTCACGAAATCAACGAGACACGCGATGTACGCTCTCCTAAAGAAGTCCGATGACTCATCTAAGATGCTGAATCCACGGGACCACGAGGCAATAGGTGCTTCACGGTGTATAAAGGGATGTTTGTACTCCAACGTAAAGGCAGCGAGCGCCCCAGCGCTCTTGCGCAGTTGGTTGTCTTGATATTCACTTGCAAAATGAGATTGCATTTGCCTAGAGTAGCGTCGCTCAGCTCTGTTCGCTTAGAGTGAAGCCTTATGACGACTTTTTCTGCTTCAGCGCTAATTAATAACTTGCTTGGATGCGAACAGACACCGAGCGACGCCGAGAGACACAAAATCACGACCGTTCCACGCGAGCACGTTGACGTTAAACTGGAGTAAAAATAACACCGAAAGTATAGACACTTCAAGTGGTTCACAGCTGATAATAATAATAATAATAACTATAATAATAATAATAATAATAATATTTATTTCGACTCAGGAGGGTTGAGGTATACCAGAGAGGTAGGAGGCCCGTACCAGTTGGCCTAGTACATCGAAGAAGCAAGTGCTGTAGTACTTGGTGACTATAAACAAAGATGCAGTGCGGTGTGCCGACCACATAGAAACATTATGTGCGGCTAGTGACTATATACAAAGATGCTGGGCGGCTTGGAGACAGATCGCCTCCTCTGGGTCACTGGGGTGGCAGTCGGAGCGCGGGAGAGAACGTCACAGCTGGACAGTGCATGAAAGGAATAATTTCCGATGGCACAAGGTGCGTGCTAGATTATGGGACAGGCGGCCGTTTCGTGTGAGACGGATCTGGGAGCCCAACAGATGGGGGGGCACAGGAAGGATGAAGTAGTATCAAGAGAATCCGGAGGGATTCTGTATCAAGCCGCAAAGAAAGGCTGCCAGCGAACTGCACGGACTAGCTCTGGAGTTCGCATTTCTCTGTAGACACGAGTGGGGCAATGCACCAGGCAGACCACTGCACAGGCGTACATCCCTGGATACTCTGCGTTCTCGCCAAACGAGTTTCCTGGCGACGGAATCAGATTAGAGTAGCACTCAAACTGTAGTCGCATGAGTGCACAACAAACGCAGAGCGTCTGCTCTGGCACCACGTGTAGCACCTTGTGAGAAAGCCAGCATCACAGCCTCCTTTATATTGACAAAGCCAGGCAAATCTCCAAGAGACGCGGCCGCCGTAAGTGAAAAGGTAGAGTGGCAGACAAGAGGCATGTAACGGGCGCCCTGCTGCGGCGAGACGCCGAAACACACTTGTCCCGGGGCGATAAAATGTCCGCTCGTGCTTCTCGTGTTCCTCGGGCTACCGCTTCTTTTCTCGTCGGGTTTGAAAACCATGTTTCGGGTCCTCGCCGCTGCAAAAGCTGTGCGCTGACTACAGGCTCTCAGTAGGGTGCCTACATGTCTGTCTGTCTCAGGGTGAAGACATCCATTGTTGCCCTGAATGCGCCAGCGCGTGACGCTCTCGCGCACTTGGTGCGTGACTTGGGCGGTAAAATGGCGTCTATGCATTAGCCAAAGCTACGCGCTCGTGCTGAGTGACACCGGATTGCGCGCACTTCAAAATGCATAGAAAGAACGATTGGGCGGAAAAATGGCCGAGATGTCACCACTCAAGCAAAAGCGCGCGTGTGTATGAAGGCACTCTAGCTCTCAGAGAAATGCTCTGTGCTACGAGATCATCGCGCTCCAAATTTGCGACCGGGCACACTATGGCTACATCATCGAACTGCCAGGCTTTGTAAGTATAGAGGAGGCTAAGGAATAGCCTCCTGTATACTCACATAGTATAGAGGAGGCTACGAAATACTCATGATGTCCGAACCTATACAGCGCCGCGAGATTTTGCTCCACACCCACAAATCCCGCAATCTGCTGCTCCAAGAAGCATAGGACCAACTTTGTGCCTTGCGTTGAGGGGGTTGTCTATTCATTCCCCCTTTCATGCGGAAGACAATACGTTGGACAAACTGGGCGATGTTTAAATGAACGCCTTCGAGAACACTCCAACAACATTGTAAACGCTAACTCTGGCCACTTGGGGATACACTGTCGGGATTGTGGGTGTGTCGCGCACTTCAACAACAGCACCGTGTTGGGCAAAAGTGTAAACCAATTAACAAGGGAAATCATCGAAGCCGACAATATCATACGACTAGAGGACAAATGTGTTAATACGCCGTCGATAACACTATCACGAAAAGAGATTCATTATTTAGCCGCGAATTAGCCTAAGCGTTAGACAGGAATTTTTACTCTTATGTCGTTTTTTTTTTTTCTATTTGCAAATCGTCAAAAATCTGAAGAAGTAGAAGCCGAAGTAACGAAATACAAAGTTGTTAGTGAGCGCTGTGTGAACGGAGTGTTGTTTGGGTGTGTGAATGCTTGAATGACAGTTTTTTGAGTGCGCTAAACGTCGACAAACATGAACAACCAACTCGCCCAATCTCAAGTTCTCACAGGTTTTATTTCTAGTACATCGGGCCCCTTCAATCTTTTTCCTGTGCAACCAAGCGTCTTAATTACGTGGATCGCCATTTGCATCTGTCAAGCACGGTCGTACGGGTACTGCATCCGGCTACACATGTTACCTCCTGAAGTCAAGAAACTGTTCGGGGGGTTTTGCCCCGTCTATAGGCCATAGAAAAATAATTTGCAAGATTCTCCAGGCAGAATGGCATTCAAGCCAGGCATTACAAGAATTGCCTCTTCATACAAATGAGAGGCAACGGAAATTTCCCCTTTCGTAGACAGCGAGAAATTTCCCTCTTACTGGACCATACTACAGAACATCTCTGGAGACTTACTTTACAGCATCTTCGCATCAACACCCCTAGAAAAGAGAGAGGCTCGTGCAACCCAGTGCACACAATAGCTGCAGTCTTTGTACCAGATTTTGTGCAGCACGTCCTCAGTCTCGGTCCTAAGTTTGCTGTGGAGCCTAAAAATCGCCACCGGAGCTGCTTTTCATTGTGAGACAAGTGTCCAGGCAAGCTCCCGAAGCTGAGATTGATCGTTGCACTTATGAAGGAGTGGACCTACTCCTTCGACATAAACCACCTGTCACACCACTACCTGTAAAGAGAGTAGAGTGGTACCTAAAGGAGCATTCCCTAGCACTCATGCCTGCTGACAAAGAAGGAGGTTTTGTCCTTATGCGCAAAGATACATTCAGCGAAAAGGCAAAAGCAGCAATTGAATCCGTCTTCAACAATCATGACAAGATGGCATTAGGCAAGGTAAAACAAGCCGCAAGGCACTTTTGCCAATCGCTTGACCTCAAAAAACTTTGTTCCCACATTGACCGCAGCAAAACGTTATCCTTACAAGTATTTTTAGTGCGAAAACCCACAAGCCTGACTGCCCCCTAAGAGTCATCGTTTCAGAGCGGGGAACGTGGCAAAAATCAGTTGCCTTATTCCTACAAGATAGACTAAATATTTTAACCGTAGACGACCCCTACCTAATCCGAAGTTCCTTCGAAGTCTTCAACTCCCTAGAAGAACGAAAACACCAAGAGATGCAAGTTTTTTCAATTGACATTAAGGACCTTTACTATGCATTGCCCCAAGACCGTCTCTTAACAAGTATTGAAGACAACATTGGCACCTTTGGCGCTATTGCATTTCAGAATGCCTCAGGCATGCCCCACAATAAGTTTTTGGAATTGCTTAACATCTATTTTAAATCCACCTTTGCTGCCTGGGATGGACACACTTACTTGCAAAAGAGAGGAGTGTGCATAGGTTCGTGCCTTTCACCTGTACTCAGCGACCTATATCTCGCACATATCGATAGGATTCTACAACAGAGGTTAGATGGCACAAAAGTAGTGCGCGTGTTTAGATACGGGGACGATTTTTTAAATTTTTTTAGCCACCGATGAAAACAGTTGTTCAAGCTCGGTGGACAACGTCCTCTCGGCATTTAAAGACTGCATGAGTCCCCTAGAAATCACCCACGAGTTGCCGGTTGAAGGATCCTTAAGATACTGGGATCTCCGACTGGAGGTGCTACCTCACCACGTCTGCTGGTCCTATGAACCCGGGGGTAAAAAACCACTCCTCCCTTTCAACTCCGCGCACTCAAAACTCGTGAAAAGAGGCATAGTGCGGTCATGCCTTAAGAGCTCTATCGCAAAGTCGTGCTCGCATTCCATAGAAAAGAGTTTCGACGGGCAAATTGTAAGACTGAAGTCAGCAGGGTACCCTTTTTTCTTATTGGTTTCAGTGGTCGAAACTCTTCTTAAAGAAATGAAGCCAGAGAACTGTGTCAAACAAACACACAGAGGCAGGACAAGAAGACCAGTGATCGTCCCTTACATCCACAATTTTTCCCACAGCCTCAAGAAAACAGCGAACAGAGTCAATGTGGACATCGTGTTTTCAGCACTCACCAAACTGTCCAGCCTTTGCAAAAACGTCACCACACCCACAAATCCCGCAATCTGCTGCTCCAAGAAGCATAGGACCAACTTTGTGCCTTGCGTTGAGGGGGTTGTCTATTCATTCCCCCTTTCATGTGGAAGACAATACTGACAATACGTTGGACAAACTGGGCGATGTTTAAATGACCGCCTTCGAGAACACTCCAACAACATTGTAAACGCTAACTCTGGCCACTTGGGGATACACTGTCGGGATTGTGGGTAGGGTGCCTGCATGTCTGTCTGTCTCAGGGTGAAGACATCCATTGTTGACCTGAATGTGACAGCGCGTGACGCTCTCGCGCACTCGGTGCTAGACTTGGGCTGTAAAATGGTGTCTATGCATTAGCCAAAGCTACGCGCTCGAGCTGAGTGACACCGTATTGCGTGCAGTTCAAAATGCATAAAAAAACGATTGGGCGGAAAAATGGCTGAGATGTCACCACTCAAGCAAAAGCGCGCGTGTGTATGAAGGCACTCTAATTGTGGGTGTGTCGCGCACTTCAACAACAGCACCGTGTTGGGCAAAAGTGTAAACCAATTAACAAGGGAAATCATCGAAGCCGACAATATCATAGGACTAGAGGACAAATGTGTTAGTACGCCGTCGATAACACTATCACGAAAAGAGATTAATTATTTAGCCGCGAATTAGCCTAAACGTTAGACAGGAATTTTTACTCTTATGTCGTTTTTTTCTATTTGCAAATCGTCAAAAATCTGAAGAAGTAGAAGCCGAAGTAACGAAATACAAAGTTGTTAGTGAGCGCTGTGTGAACGGAGTGTTCTTTGGGTGTGTGAATGCTTGAATGACAGTTTTTTGAGTGCGCTAAACGTCGACAAACAGGTACCAAATACTGCGAACCTGCGGCACATTATCCGTACATTGGCGTCGATTCAGGGGGAGGGGAGGGAGCCCCCCCCCCCCCTCTTTTTTCCCCTACAGACAGTTAAAAATATTAAACAATACGAGGAAAAGGAAAGAAAATCCCCGCACCCCCCCCCCCCCCTTCCCTCTCGCGAGTTCTTCTGACGCCTCTGCCCAATCGCCAGAACGGTGGAGCACGTGAAGATATCGGAGAAGTCCTCCTCGCCTGCCCGGCATATGAATATGAGCGAAATGCCCCCCCCCCCCCCCCCCCCAGTGGTACGCCGTCAGTAGTTTACCTTACATGATTGATTATTTCACTTTTCTTGTGGATCACTGCGGACAGAACAATCCAAGCCATCCTGAAACTTATGAGGGAGACAAGTCTGGCGAACCGAATGTGACAGGATACACCGAACAAAGAACAAAATAAGAGTATATTTTCTATGCCGCCACCTCAAATGTCCTAGTCATAATTCGGACACCTATTAAATATCCATTCTATCTGGAACCACCCTTTTTTCGCATCTCTTGTAGCGACTTGTCCCGTCGTGGAGGACACAATCTTTTCTGGCTTTTTCGCTGTGAACTACAAAGCAAACACTGCAACAGCGTATTCGCCCTGACGTGTGTTTCGAGGTCGAGCCCGCCCGGTGTCGCAACACAGATCAGGTGACCATCAGAACTACACGATGCCCGGAACGCGTATTCGAGCGGTGTGTTTAGTGTTCGGTACCACCCATACATAAAATGTGGTCCCGAAGCGGGCATGAATGACATCACAAAAGCCGGCGTGTCATGTCGGACGTCGCAATCCTGGCGGCTAATGCTAAAAGTCCCTGTAAGAGGTACGAACAAACGCGGGTGCCGCTACCGTCGCAGTGTCCCAACTCCTGGTTGCCGAAGCTTCCGTAAACTGTCACACTGGAGAGCGACCCGCAGCAGGACAGGCGTCTACCACATCCACCATTGATGTTGGGACACCACCAGGATTACGAATTTAAAAGTAGCGCTAAAGACGAGGACAAGTAGAAGACACAGACACGGACAGGCGCTGACTCGCAACTGATATTTAGTGATATTTAGATATTCACTAAATATCAGTTGCGAGTCAGCGCCTGCCGTGTCTGTGTCTTCTACTTGTCCTCGTCTTTAGCGCTACTTTTAAATTCGTAATGTATAACCAACTAGCCCGTCACGTGATCCTTGTACCACCAGGATCGCGGCGCGACAGCACGACACCTGTATGACGTCATCAGGCGGAAACCAGGGGACCACTTGTGTGGACGCAGTCAACGTACCAGTCGGAAACGCGTCCTATAAGCACCATAATCAGGACCGCTCTTACACCGATGCCGCTCTCGATGAAGCCCATCTTGAGCGTGAACGGCGTCATGGGCGGGTCCTCCAGCTCCCGTTGGACCACGTCTCGGACGCTGTTGATCCTGGGCGCGGGAACCTGGACCACCAGGCTGCCCCTGATGGCTCCGGAGAGCAGAGTGCCCAAGAAAAGGCAGCCCAGCGACCAACCCAGAAACACCAGGCGCACGGGGTCGCTGTCCAGGGGCATGCTGGTCGCTGCGAGGGACATTTGCAAACACCCAGAAGTCTCTCGGTGTAAAGTCTCCAACAGTATAAGAAGACCCATTTTGGCAGGCGCCCTGAATTGGATTTGGCCAGGTTCTCACTGTTTACGTTCAGAAAATAACTGAACCATTGCTCGTGCTTTCTTTAAAAAATAGTGCCTCTAGTCATCGTGTGTTTAGCACCGCGGAACAAACGGCCTCGTCGAATGGGTCTCTCATACTGTCGGAGACTGTACACTTCGCCGCGGTGCCCTCGAAATTCCAATCGTCCTTTTTTAATCCGTTTTGTCAGCTTTATATTATCCGTACCATATATGCTATGCGGTCTCAGTGGCAGAAAGGGTGGGCGCCTTGCTGAACACCAGCGCGCGGCTGTGATGTGCCACTGCTATGGTGGCGCTGCTGTCGGCGTACGCGCAGCTGACACTTCACTTCACACAAATATAATTTCTGAGCACGCGCAGTGCTCCCACCCGGTCTGGGCAAATGTGGACTTGTTTGCAAACAGCGTGCCGGTTAAAGAAAGACAAATTATTGCTAGTTTGAATGCATAGTAGTATGCATGCAATATCCGAGGATGTAAAGGGCTGCAGGCCCTTTAGAATGCCAGAGAAGGGCTGCAGGCTGGTGTTATTTTCAGCGTTGGTGCACACGACGTGTGCTTTGCTCGATTTCCGAAGAAACAAGCGCGCGCGTGAAACCTGGGCGGTGGAGATGGCATACGCTTCTTGCCTGAAACACAGCTGAACATCAATTTGCACTCAGTTACACTTTCATCGCCCGATGAACATCTATCCATTACACAAACCCCAGAAACGTACATATACTGTTAGAGCGGTGTAAAATGAGGCACAGCAATAACGTTTCTCGGTTTATAGAGACCGCGCGGAACAGAAAAGGTGCTTGCAGTCGAGAAAGACTGAAAAAAAAAAAAAAAACACTAAAAAACGTGTCTAAAAACAAAAGAAGCGTGGTACAACAAGTAAAATGTGTAAATCAGTGAATATACGCTCTACCGGCGTCTTCCAGTCACGTAACTCCTCTAAACCGTTTAGAGGAGTTACGCGACTTCTGAACTCAACATTTAAAATGTTGACAGAACCACCATGATTCTACCGGGTGAAACAAGGAGACGGTAGGCTCTTTAAATCGACCGGAAAATTCGGTTTCTTAACCTATCGCGCTACGACTTTGTGCAGCGTCGCCCACAGATGGCGCATTTTTTTCGTAAAATTTGCAAAGAGCGAACTTACCCGAGGAAAAAGTAAAGAAAGAAAAAGGCTTAGCTCCTATGGAAACGCAGCGACGCCACCGGTCTGCAATCAACACGACGCCGTTTCGCACGGTAGACAAGAGATGGCGCAAGCGGTCGCGACGCCAACTGCCGCCAACGAACGAGCAGACGACGCCGAGAACCGGCGTTTTTAGCAGACAAGGAACTGCAGTTGCTTGTTGTTACCGCGCCTGTCTTTGTTTCTGCAACTGTCGCCGTTTGCGGAACGCGCGCCGCTTTTGATTGGAAAAGATCGTCTGCTAAAAACGCTGGCTCTCGGCGCCGTATGCTCATTCGTTGGCGGCGTTCGTTGCGCCATCTCTTGTCTGCCGTACAAAACGGCGCCGTGTTGATTGCAGACCGGTGGCGTCGCTGCGTTTCCATAGGAGCTAAGCCTTTTTCTTTCTTTACTTTTTCCTCAGGTAAGTTCGCTCTTTGCAAATTTTACAAAAAAAATGCACCATCTGTGGGCGACGCTGCACAAAGTCGTAGCGCGATAGGTTAAGAAACCGAATTTTCCGGTCGATTTAAAGAGCCTACCGTCTCCTTGTTTCACCCGGTATTATAGACATTGATAGCTTTCTAAGAAGCGCTGGTTGTGGCTTATGATCACGCTTCTTGCTTTCAGATTCCAACTTTGGTGCCCTTACCAGCTAATGCAGCAGTTTTATTCCCGCATAGCAGGTAAGAAAACTGACAGCTTAGATAACACTGAAGGTGATGACAGACTGTTTGATAGAAAGAAAGGGAAGAATGTGTAATTATGTTCCCCCGAGTTCTCCATAAACCATACTCCAAAACCGCTCGTTTGTTCTGTAGCTTATAAAGCAAAGAGAGTTTTCGTATGCATTCATCGCCATAATACGGTTGTTTTCCCTGGATTGTAACATTGTCTCACGGCTGAGAAGATTTATTAAGCATACGCCTACGTCCGGCTTACCATTCATGAGTAGCACTTCGAAATAGGATAAGAACTGCCCCGTGAGAGACAGTCTGGCGCGCTGTTGTTGAGCGCCGCTCTGGTACATGCTGAGAAGCCACGTGACCAGAGTCACTCCAATCCAGGAAAGGAGGATGGACAACCACACCTTCAGGATAAAGAATGTAAGCTGATCAGATGTCCGTTGAAGAAGATGGGATTTATAACGCTTATCTAGTTAAGATTTAAAAGCAAACGGTTCTTGGGCTCCAATACAAAAAAAAAAAAGAAAAAAAAACGCGGTGGCTTTTTATGAGGATAATAAAGCTGATAACCTTGAAGAAAAAAAAAAAACTAACACATATATGGGAGATCGATGCTAAATAAATATCCTAACAAAAACCGCGCTCATGCGAAAAAGATAGCACAATTGATCGCGAATGTTCGAATAAAAATGTTAAAAATATGAAAAAACGACAAAAACATTTTGCTGCTTAAAAAAAAAAAAAGACGTTGAAGTCGAATTTGGGGGATTTAAGTGCAAAACCAATGAAGGAAATCTGGCACATTCCAGTGAAGGAATGAGGATAATTTGACGTGCTACTGAAATCTCGGATACAAGGCGACTTCTCCGCAATACGCCTCCGTCAGATTGCGGACCACGTGGCCGGGATTTGAACCGGAACTTGGGGATTCGTAGGCCGGTCTTTGCTCCAAAGCGTCCAAAGCCACCAAAACCACAATAAAAAAAAAATTCTATTTATAAAATGAGTTAATATTTTACTTAAGAAAAAAAGAAATGAAAAAAAAAACGCCGCTATGTGCTTTTGGGCGATTATTTTCATCACTCTTCATAAAATGGCAATACATTTATTGGGTTTCTTTCCTTTTTATTTTCTTATTGTGAAATAAAATTGCCGAAAAACTACGTATAAGGTTACTTTCTGCGATTCACCATAAAATTGGTGTTTTATAAATGGTAACTTTCGATAGAGGCCAGTCCAAAGCCTTCATGATTAAGTTACATTGCTGCACCTCTGCATAATCGACATTCGCAATTTACTAAAAAAATATTTTGCAGTTGTATTTCAATGAGGCCGTCATACGCAGAATGGACCTTTTCCACATACCGACGGCACCAGGCGGTGGCCGCACAAACTAAAAATCGAGGAAGTGACCTACCTACCTGTGCTACCAATCGATAATGGGAGCTACAGCACGAGTTTCTTCGGTCTCTGAGCTGCGGCGCGTGCCCAACGCGACTTTCAAGAGGGGAAAAAAAAAAAAACACGACCCAAGCGTCGTGTTTTTCTTTCCGTTCACTTTCTTTTTTTTTTTCTTCTTTTTTTTTTTTTGTGTGTGTAACACAATTAAATATATGCTGCAATTAAGTGTTCTACTCGCTGATCCCCAGCCTCCTTCCGAATTTCCTCGATTTCTCGAGCCGACTTCCGCCGCTAGGCATCGGGCGCTCGCGCGTGCGCAGAACGCTTCTAGGAAAAGGTCCATTGTAATCTGAGTCTCGGTGTTCCAGGCACGTCATGCCGTGTCTAGCGTCGCCAAATCCTCTTTTCGTTCCGTTTATATTTTTTTTTTTTTTTTTTTTTTTTTGCGTGTGAGTGGTTGTTTTCGAAGCTTTCGCAGCTGGCGAGGTGTTTTCGAAGCGTCTCGGAGTCCTTTCTTCCGTCCCTTCTCTCTTTTACTTTTTATTCTTTAACAGTTGTGTTCCGTGGCTGACAGAACTCGCGGCGAGGCGTTTGACAGCCGGCCACTCTCTTCGAACGTAGCACGCTACACTTTTTCCGGGCTAAATCGTTGTTAGCTTCAGTAAAAATGCAATTCTGCATTAAAAGGAACTGTGACATTCAAAAGCCCACGTGGTATGGGGATCGGTACTCTTACGTTTGGTTCGAACGTAGTCGAAATGGCGAAGTCATCTTCCACGTACAGGCGCTTCATTCCGCTGACGATGGACACGGGGTCGAACCGGAAGACGGGGACCGAGTGGAAGTCCTTCACCAGGTACTCGTTTACGGGGTACGTGAAGAACGTCATGTCGACTTCCTGCGGCATAAAGGGCATCTTTTAGTGCGTGGCGGTGCGCCACGGACTGTTCTTTCGGCTCCTCCCGCACTGGGCAACCTTACCCCTCTCTGCACCATGCCGAAAATTCCGCGGTAAGTCCCGTTCGGATACCGAGTGCCGTGCTCGTCTCCAAGCACGATGTCGTAACTGCGGGAAGGGGTAGCGATTTCATCGAACGCGATCAATGCCCGGACCTGCACGGCACGGAAGCACCGCCATGAGCGATCTGAATAGACATATATGGACCCCAGTTACACAGGCGGAGTGAACTTTGCGTTTGCTGACTTCGTCCTGGCACGCAATGCACCGCAGACAAAACGCTACGCTCGGTTCTGGCTCATTAAAATGTCACAAAAAAAAACCGAGTTGTGATTAAAATTTAAAACAAAAAAAAATCTAAATTTTTGTTTTTAGCCAAACGTCGCTCTCCCTCCTCCTGCGTCTCCTTGGCACGTCCAGCACGGTTATACCAGTGATCAGTTACACCAAGAACGTTGCCGCTTTTGCATAGGCTTTTACAGCGCTTATCACCCGGTCGAAAAATGCTGATTCGCCGGGCCGTGAGCGAATGCACTGCGTGTCATTTTTTCGTGGGAGAGAACATTTGCGCACGTTCACGTTCAAGAACGCCTTTCACAGTCCAGTATAGACAAGGATGACAGCGGGCAGAAGGCGATTACAGTGAAACCCGTTTAGAACGAACCCACGTGCAGCGAATTATTGTCGATATCGAACTCACAGAAAATTTAAATAAAAATGCATGTAAAAAGTACTTTTTATAACAAACAACATATTGGCTATATTGAACTATTTCCCCCCGGGAAGGCTTCCAGAAACGCGCAAACAATGGTATTCTGCCTGCCCCTCCCCCCTCCATCCCCCCCCCCCCCCCCCAAAAAAAAAAGTATAAAAGGATGAAAATTTCAAAAGATCAAGTTGCGAAAAAATTTGACCGAAGAGAAGCGATTCAGAAGGAGAGAAAGCTAAAAAAACACTGAACGCACGCACAGAAGAAAAAACTTTTCATCTTAAAGCGGTTGCCCACGAAGAGAAGCGATTCAGAAGGGGAGATGAGCTAAACCACCAAGCTCTGCACGTATACAAAAAAAAACACACACACTTTTTAGCGCGTTGTTACAAGGCAGAAGCGAAGAGTTTAGAAAGAAAAACAAGCTCTCGCCTTACAACGAACGCATCGTGGAAGTTCGTTGTAAATGGTTTTTGCTATATCGAACTCTTGTTATATCGAACTGATCGTAGCGTTTCCTGCTGTTCGTTATAAACGGGTTTGACATATTGCCTTCCTCTTGCGAGGCATTACGGAGAAGACTGCGGCACACCCAGTGAACGCCACGTCCCGCGATAAAGAGAGGAAAACGGCACGTGTATCTCACTCTCCCGCGCGCATGCGCGTGTGTTTCGATGTGATGACCGCACCAAGCCTCAATTTGCCCGACTGAGAGGAAATCAAAGCTAACATAAAAGAGCGACGTTTCGTAAGTTTGGTCGACATTTTCCGAGCCTGAACAAACATTTTGACGAGGATTTGCGGAACACAACAAAGAGAACTATAATTCCACACCGTGCCATTCCCAGTATTGACTGAGTAATTGTTTTGTTTCCTTCATCCTTCCACGCGTGGTCTACGCAATCACACCAGATTTGTTCCCTCCGACAACCTCAGGCCCTCCGGGTTATTAATTTAATTTTGAGAATAAACTAAAAATTGGTTATTCTCAAATGTGCTGGTGAGGGCCTAACCAACAAACAAAAAAGTTGTTTTTTTTTTTCGCAAAAATAAACTACGCTTTGCCGAACGCTTATGATCCACACTAATGTAGCCCTAGAGGTCCGCACCAGATGCCAACGTTTCAGCACTAACCCTTATCTTATGAAAAAGGTATAAGTGATTTTCTGGAAATTTCAATGGGAAAATGGCAGCTAATTAGGTTTTGAAATAAGAGAAGCTTCATGGCCCCAGAAACCGAAAACGGGCGAAAATGGACCCCATTTTCACAATTTAAGTTTCAGAAAATCACTTATAGCTCTCGAATAAAAATATCGGTTCGTGCTGAAGCCTTGGCATCTGGTTTCGACCTCTAGCGCTACCTTTGGGCGGAGAATGGGCGTTCGGCGACAAGTTATTTTTGCGGTAAAAAAAAAAAAAAAGGACAGCATTTTTTTTTTTTTTTTTTTACAACCTGTATATCGCAGCTGCGTCTCAGACGGGGGACCCTCGGTATGTTGAGTGACCAATTTTGAGACCAGCAAAACTACTGTGCGTGTTGAGTATACCCTCACTCTGATCACTTACGCGAACAGCCCGCCCGTCAGTTACACCATGTGTTCCGGTAGCTCAAACTTGGAAAAAGGTGAAAGCTCCAGCCCCAGCCAGCCAGAGCGCTGGAGCGAGGCGCCTAATCAGAACGAGCCGTATACGTCTGCGGAGAGCTGTAGCGCAGGTTCGCTCCGTCCGTGTCGGTGCTATTGGCTTATGAAAGACCGCAGCTCTGGTTCTTTCGGAAGTAACTCACCTCACGTTCATCGAGTGAAGCACGGCCGACTGGAAACCGCCGACGATGCCCGTCTGTTCCAGGCGTCCGTCAACTTCGAAGTAGTTGTTGTAAGGGGGCGACTTGGGACGTGGGTGAGAAGACAGTTAGATCTTTGCCGTACAGATAACCTGCAGCCCCCCCCCCCCTTCCCAAACGTCTCTGTGTAGACGTTTGGTGCACGGTGGAAGATTAAAGTGGTATCTGAACAAGGACAGATAAGGGGCCAAAATTTCACTCGAGTTTCGCGCATCTCCCGGCTGGGGCACTGTCGGTTTAGGGCCCCCGGACAGGCCAAGTCGCGCGGTTATAAAAAAACATGCACGCGAATAAGGACGGTTCCTCGAGCTCCTAGTCATGTTCTGTACCTCACGGCGTGTGCCAGAAATGCGAACGAACCTTCGAGACACGTGCTCCACGTACGTTTTACGGCGAGGCGGCGCCGTTCAGACGCCTTTTCTTCCACCGTGGTTCGGGGGAAGGGGCGGAAATCCCTCCCACTACCGTCCCCCATCTCCCGAACACTTCGACGTCATTGCACCGTGCTGGCGGTCATTCCCCCCTGTTCTTGCCGAAAAAGAAAATAAATGGTGGGCAATGTTTGCTTGAGAGGACGCACTCAACAGCGAAGCCACCATAATGTGATGATGTTAGCGCAACCACACAATAATAACGACGGGCATCTCGAAGGACTTTGGATGAAAGGCTGAGAGAAAATCCTGGCCGCCCTGAACTGGCTTCTCGCGCCGTCATCAAACTTTTCTGTTCTGGGGTGTCGGCAGTTCTGTCGGAAGTGTTCGAGAAACGGCTTATTTCGGATATCTATCAATCAGGTTCAGCAAATGAGGCAACCCAAAAGACAATTCAGATAAAATATATCTAAGTCAAACTAATGCAGAACAAATATTTCAAATAGCAATTGATACGGTTGATTGGCCATCCGTGTGTGTTGCGGGGGAGCACATACATTTATTTTTAAAGTGTAGAGAAATTCGAAGAACATGAAAGGGAATGCGTAGACGGATACGTTGAGTGCGCTTCTCCTCCGACAGAGTCATGCAGCAGGCAAGCAACCCCCACAGGGCGAAATCGGAGAAGCGAAAGCTAACCGCTCATTCACACTGAAAGCGGATCCGCGTTCGCAAAGCGGTTGCGAACGCGGTTGTATAAAGATCCAGTACAATTGCACGCGCACTCGATTACATCAAGTGCGCGTGCAATTGTACTGGATCTTTATACAACCGCGTTCGCAACCGCTTTGCGAACGCGATCCGCTTCCAGTGTGAATGAGCGGTTAAAGTGACGGCACTTTGTCTCGCTCGTTAAGTAATGCAAAAGCATGACTCGAAGCACTCCGTTGATGCTCCACATGGACTCGAGAAACAATCAGCGCATCACTGAATATCCCGTGTAAACAAGGGCTAAAATAAAGAAAGAAAAAGGGGAAAGGGGACGTGTTTCTGCTGTGCTTCACTGCAGATTACGGTAAAATGCGGTAGGTCAACGACGAATTTGTAGTCAAAGGTAGGTGAGATGTTTACTCTAACACTTCCCCAATTAGTTCACTTTCTATCTATGCGTAGCACCAGTTCGTCTGCTTCTTTTGTGGGGATTGCGGTGACGTCGGAACGCCGAGCTCTGATTGGCTCTGAATGAAGGATAGCGGGTAGACCTCGAGGCAGCTAGCATTGAGGTCTACCCACTATCCTTCAATCAGAGCCAATCAGAGCTCGGCGTTCCGACGTCACCGCAATCCCCACAAAAGAAGCAGACGAACTTGAGCTACGCATAGTCACCGACAGCGTAAAAAACGCAGAGTGAGGCTCATTACGTAAGTCCCCGCTTTTGACTTTGTGATTGGTCCTTCGTCGTTCTCGTCTGCTAATGGCACAATCTGATTGGTTGCGAAGTGATAATGATATGGTTGGGGCTCGCCACGCCCCGTGTCCCTTAAGCTGTCAGCGAAGCACTTTTCTGAACACAAAAAACGAAAAAAAAAAACGCTATCACGTCAAAAAGAAAGAAAACACTGAGAAAGATGTTTTCGAATGACAAGTCCAAAGAACCGCAAAATCGCAGTCCCACTGCATATACACCGTACAAAAGACACGGAGTTTTTCCGCAGACATGACGGCAGAAATATTCGCGGATACGACTCAGAAATGTCCGAAGCATGCTTGGTTGCGTACGTATGCATGCTTTCGAACATGTCTGCAGTTTTTGTATGACGAATGTGACGTCATAATAAGGAAGAAACTCTCCACAGACAGTATCTGAAGACTCTCGTATGATCTATTAGCAGTTTGACCGCGGCTTAAGGTTACGCCTAAACATCCAAACACATCGAAAAAACTAAAGGTCATGCGGACGATTACCACGAAGCCACCAGCCTTCAAATTCCGGTCCAGCAAAGGAGTCGCCATTACTGCAAATGAACTGGAACTGCGCGTACAACGGCGGTGTGACAGCCTTCTGCGTATGGCTCGAAGAAGTACCTTCTGCCGGTGAACCTTGCTTGCACTACGTGACAGCCGGTTGACATCGTGTGACACGTGTATGATATGTAGCGACAACGTTGCCCCTCGATGTTTGATCGAGCGATGGACGCATTGTGTACTGTTGATGTTTGAGCAAGCGTCCGTTTTCTTCTTTGTGTGACCGAGAGATTTTTCATGCCGTGTTTGTGTAGATATGACTCGCTCTTCGGGAGGTCGTTCCGTTTGCTGGCGTCCTTTTGTTGACTAAGCTGAGATTGAAGGCAGCTCCTCGTTTGTTTAATCCGGGTCTTTGCGAGAGGATCGGACCCCATTGTGACACGACCTTACTTAACGGTCTCAAATGATTTACCGACTTCGGAACGCATACTGCTAAAGGGAAGCAGTATTTCAATTTTACTTACGGTAAATTCGCTCACGTCGACATGCTGCACACAACATAAACATTGAATAAATTTACAAAGAAATTAGTACATACATTGGCTAAAATTAATACATGAGAGTATCCGCGCTTCAAAAACTAAAGAGAACAACCCCGATCAATTCCCCCACGGAGCCATGGAGCGCCTGGCCGCCGGAAAAGGTGAGGAGCAGCGCCGTACGGTTACCGATATGGTAGCGTAGAGTCACTTCTGGAATGGCCTATAGTAACTGTACATGCTCTACTCTACATAGACCTAGAGTTCCTGTATACGCTCCCTACGTCTGTTTTCTACGTGCCGCACGCCGCTGTTCGCCGAAATCGATCACGTGAGGGGCAAAGAATCCAGCGCCGTGCAGGAAAACCACCGACAAGGTCGCGTCGCCGACCTTTCACGCGCCTCGGCGTATGTTACCCTGCTTTTGCCTCCTTCCCCTCCTTTCCAGGCGCGACGGCGAATGCGGCGCCATTCGCCGATTTCAATCACATGACGAGCAAAACTACAGGGCAATGCAGGAAAGCCGACGCTACGGCCACCCGCCGAGGATGAACGCGCAACTGCGCTACCGTAGGTAGCTATTATGAGGAGTGTCTGGCGAAGGACTATGCCAGGCGCACGTGCCACGCACGTGCCGCGAGAGGACGAACACGGGATGGGAAAGACAACGACGACGGACCGGGGGAACGTGCAGTTAGGTTCTGGGATTAAAGGCGGATGGTAAAGGTTCCATCCTAACAAGTGGGGGCCCGTCCGGGATCGAAGATGGACAACCTGGAGGTGCCGGATGAACTGATAGCCCGCCTTTTAAGACAACCCGACGGATCCGCGATGCAGCGGGAGCAAGTTTCTGTTCAAGCGCGCCAACTGCTACTGACTGCAGGGGGGCTATGTTGCGCTTTTTGCACTCCCAGGAGACTAGGGAGAGGGAAGTGACGTCAACAACGCAGCAAATGCAGATTGGATGTTGATTTTGTTTTCTTCTGTCAACATCCAATCTGCGTTTTCTCTAGTGGTTGACGTCACTTCCCTCTTCCATGTCTCCTGGGAGTGCAAAAAGCGCAACATAGCACCCCTGCAGTGCCCCCAGCCAACGAACCCGAGGTGACCGCGGCTGCAGTCCACCCGTCTGGCGGCCCTCTGCCGAGAATTGCGGCGCAGTTGCCGAAGTTTACAGGCTTCACTGATCGATAGTCGCCCGAAGAATTTATCGAGAGGCTAGAAAAGTCACCACTGAAAACCGTCTTAGCCAGGTCGTTCCGGCTGCACTGGAAGGGAGCGCCAAATTATGGTGGCGTTTTATCGGTAACTTCGGCAGTTGGGATGATTTCAAGACGGCGTTTCGTGCCGAGTTTGCCTCAATCGACGCCAAGCGACGTCTAAAGGACGAGTTGAGATACCGCACTCAACACCCCGAGGAGAACCTCAAGGAATTAATTTACACCATCGGTTGTTTTACGAGAGAATCTGGGAAGAGGTGCCCGACTCAGAAAAGGTCGACCGCGTGTTACGCCAAATGCATCCCCAGCTCCAGGATTTGGCGGAAGGGAAGGCAGCGGACGGCCTCATGAAGCGTGCCTGGCGGCGTCTTCAGTACAAGCCGCCCCCCACAAGAAGCAACCAGGTGGCCCGTGACCTAGCTTTCCGGGCACAAGGTAACAGCGACTTCCCCGGGACGGAGGCTGCAATTCCCGCTACTCTCGCACCAGCTCTAGCAGCGGCTGTGTCATCTGCAACAGTCGCTATGCCGTCGACGTATCGCTGGCCACTCCACCCCGCGGCAATCGAACCAGCCTACTACAGAGACCAGCTTTAAGGACCCACAACGTCAGGGGGAGTTGCAGATTCAGTTCTGCCGATGTCTCAGTGGCATCAGCGCCAACAAGGAGTCGACCGTTGCCGGAGATGTGGAGGAATCGGTCACCCCGCTCGCACATGTGCCACGGGTCGGCGTTTGGGTCCAGGTCTCTGCTTCAGGTGCCAACAGCCTGGCCATTTTCAAGCACAGTGTCCGGGAAACGGACACTGGTAGATGCTGTCCCGGTGAGCATCTACGAAAGAGCGCTGCAAGTGGCGACTACTGCCGGGGGAAAAGAGCCTCTCCTTGACGTTACCATTAGGTCATCAACGTTCAAGGCGCTGCTCGACACAGGCTCCAGCGTCAGTCTCTTGGGTCGGCCGGCCGTCGTAGCTGCTCAA